CCCCAAAACCCCAAAACCCCAAAACCCCAAAACCCCGCAGTAGTACAAGCAATAGATCATTCTAGAGAAATATAAAATTTAAATTCAAAAACAGATTAACTAAATTAATGGCAGAAGGCTCGAAATTCTTAGAAGATTTCCTTAGTCCATATGAGGCTGAGCATCTTATTAGAGGTCTAAAAGAAATAGACATCAAGGAATATGGTTCAAAATAGTAAGATCCTTTTGAAATGTAATTACTGGAATAGATGGATCCAATAGCATGAGACAATAGATAGGTTGAACATTTAAGCTCATAAAAATGCGCTTACATCTACAGATGAGTTCATTATGGATTATTTTGTTACTTTTGAGAAAGTGAGTTATTCTTTATTTCATATTGATATTAGGTTGGCATATTGATCTATGATCTTCTAGCAAGTGAAACTTGGAAACAAAAGATATACCCTCTTTTGAAATAGGACCTAGCTAAGATATCATCTCTTAGATCTTATATTACAGTACACGATTATTTATTAATCTAAATATATTTGTAGTTGTATCATGAAGCTTAGATTTGCAATTTACTTGAGATCATCCTCTATCACAGAACAGCTTGCGAGAATTCCTAGGATTATCTAGTTGAACTTATCGATTATTGCTACAGAAAGTTTTTATACTTGACAAATTGGTAATTAACAAAACTTTCTCAACTTAATTTGTAGGTCTGAATAAAGAGGAAGAAATGTACATGATGATGACCCTAGGAGATATCTAAACTTGAAGCCGGAAGAGGAACTCCAAAGACAATTCGATGAGATATAATTTAGCACTGCAATGTGTTGCTTTAGCTTGATTAGGTTTATTGCTGATCACATGCAAGATTTATCAGTTCCAATTGTTCATCAGATGATGGAAACTAATGATATTCCATGCATCCTAGTTCCTCTATTAGAAATGAAGCCATGGCTGAGAAAGAATACAAAAGGAGAAGTAGAGAAATTTGAGGATTAAAAATGGCAAGTAATTGCTCCAGGAGAAATGAATAGAGTTACTAAGATGGAGGCATAGATCTGGTTAACAATTTACAATATGTTTTTGAGTTAAGACACGAATCGTAAATATGAAATTACCTCTTTTAGAAAGGCAAATCTCATGAGACTGAGAAAGTACTTAAATGAAGTATTGCTTGATTAATTGCCTATGCTTGCTAATCTTCTTAGGGCTTTAGAGGAGCTATCTATAATGCAAGAGAACTCAGTTCCATCAAAGAACAGTTTTATAGTTCAATAGATCCCAGAGTTTAAACTAAAAATGAAGGACAGAAACTGGAAGGAGATTGCTGAGTATTAACTTGAAAACTTCTTCACTAATGATGAGAAATCATTAAAGGAAGATATGGATAGAATAATGAAGCTATATAGCTCTGATGTATTTGAGCAGTTTATGGACGAGCCAAAGTGTGCTGAATGTGGAAAGAATGCTACTCAGAGATGCTCAAGATGCAAAAATTAATGGTATTGCTCAAGAGAATGCTAATTAAGACAGTGGAAAGGACACAAGCCGCTATGTGACATAATTTTTTCAAACAAACAAGAAGATGAGTTAAAGTCTGAGGAAGTGAAGCAGATTTAAAAGGAAAAATTTTAATAACCTAAGTCATTGATCTAAGATATTACCGATCAGGAATGATGACTTTCCTAGAGAATCAACCAAAAAAATACTCTCTTAAAATTGTTTGGATCATGAATTAATTTGAGTAGTAATGTTAATAAACGGATAGATTGATGAGTAGATAATATATAAGTTAATTTATTTTAAGCTCAATATAAATTATTTTGAGAAAAGGTAGAAAATCGAAGTCACAAAAGAATACTTAATATATGGATATGGAAATGGGTGATTGATTTCAAGAATCTGATGATATTATATGCGCTTTTATAATAAATGCAAATATGAGACACAAGTTGAGATTCAAATATTAGGAACTAAAGAATATGATGTTCGAACTCTGATACTCAGAGTTAGCAGTCTCAGTGCTTGAAGTACTTAATGAAGGCCTCATCATCAAGATCAGCCCAGTCATTAACTTAGATCTCTTTGTTGAATGGCTGAACCTTCTTTCTAACAACATCCTTTGATGTGGCATAAATAAACTTAGCGCCTGAGTCGCAGATGTCTGGAGCATATAGAATAAATACTATCTTGGCTTCATTAGCACCTGAGTTTCCAGTAAATTCTAACTCAAAGACAGCAAATCTATAAGTCCATTAGGATATGCCAATCTTACCTGGGCTAGTCCTTTGGCATGGCTTCCTTGAATTATTCAAAAGTAGCGTCTCTCTCTCCGACTTAATCAAGGATCACTTCATCCTTGTCGTCATTTACTCTAATAATCAAATATCTGTGAGATCTCTTCATTCTCAAATTTGTGTATTCGTTAGCAACATCATCAGAGACTCTCATACCAGCAGTCATCATCTTTGGAAATTTATTTATCTTAAAATTATTAATTAAGAAATGAGATATTTTATCAAACATCCAATTCATTATTTTTCATAATATCTTTTGATATACTTATAATGATATATGGGGTTTTGGGGTTTTGGGGTTTTGGGGTTTTTACTGATTAAAAATTAGTGCTCACTGA